CAGCCGCTCCCTTTGCTCTGCGCCGTCATGTTTTACTGCCCTCTTTCATTTGGACATGAAGAAACCTGATGAGAAGATTCTAGAAAATGCAGCCTGCAGGTGGGGATGGGGAACACAGTGTGGAGAGCAGTTTATTCTCCCTGGTGGCAGGCCTGACGTTATACGTGCCTTTTTATACATTTATGGGCTTTTCATATTTGCATAAGCAAAAAGACTTTAAAAATTATGGTGAGAATAGCTAATATTTATTGAGCATTTACTACATGCTGACTTTACATGTATTAACTCATTTAACCCTTACCACCACCCTGTGAAGTGGGTATTCTTATTAGTCTTATTTCTAGATCAGGAATGGAAGTGTAGAAAAGTAAATAAAGTAATGAAAAATTCAAACTATTAAAATTTAAAAAGAGATTGTCAATATAAAGGAATGACCTACTGATGCTGACATGGGTGAATCTCAAAAACATTGTGCTCAGTGAGAAAAATCAAGACACAAGACAGCGTGTACGGTCTGATTCCATTCATATGAAGTATCCGGAAGAGGCAAGTCTATGGAGACAGAAGTCGATTGGTGGTTGCCTGGGGCAGGGGCCAGAAACGGGGAATAACAGTAAACGGGCACAGGAGAGCTCACTGGGAGAGATGGGATATTCCAAAACTGATTTATAATGATAGTTGCCAAATTTACTAAAATCCATTGAAATGGGTGAATTGCATGATATGTAAAATATGCCTCAAAAAGTTGTAAAACAAAGAAATGTACTTAAAATTTGAAAGTCTAGCCCTGGCCAGTTTGGCTCAGCGGTTAGAGCATCAGCCTGCGGACCAGAGAGACCTGGGTTTGGTTCCCGCTAAGGGCACGTACCTCGGTTGCAGTATGTCCCGGGCCCCAGTTAGGGTTGTGTGGGTGGCAGCCACTTGATGTGTCTCTCTCACATCGATGTTTCTCTCTCTCTCTTCCTTCCTCTCTTCCTCCCGCTCTATCTGAAGATGAATGCAAAAATGTCCTTGGGTGAAGATTAAAAAAAAAATTGAAAGCCTAACATTTATTGAGCACCTATTGTGTACTTTACAGAAATTTTTTCCAGTGCTAACAGCTCATTCATTTGCTTACCTGAGCTCATCTTTGTTGAGAAGCTAGCATGTGCGGGGCACCATGACATGATATGGACGTACAGAGGTGAACTAGACTTGATTCCGGTACAAGGTCTTTGCCCTGATGTAGATCATGATATAGAGAGCGTTGGGGTTGAGGTAGGGGTAGGGTAGAGACGCAGATGAAAAAGCCAGTGATAAGAGAGTGTATCTGTGCTGTCATGGGGTAGGCATGGTGCTGACATAATCCAGAGGATATATCCCAATCCAGACCTGGTGGGTGCTGGGAAGGCAGAGAGGTTTTGTGCATGAGGCTGAGACCTGAAGGACAAGGGGTAGTTATCAGATGCAATGGTGAGAGAGTGGGGTGGGGAGAATGAAAGTTGTTTGACCATTCATTCTTTCATTCATTCATTCACTGTTTATTGCGAGCCTGCCACATGCTTTGGATGATGGATGGGGGAGATGAGGGTGTCCAGGGCTGAGGAAAAGAAACCACTGACTTCACTCTCCTACTTGGGGTAGGACTGAGCACTGGACAGGGAATTGGACCAGAATGCTAGACCAGGTTTTGCCACCAATTATTTGGACAATCTGGGGCTAGTCCCTACCCTTCTCTGGGCCTCAATTTTCCTGTCTCCAAAATGGGAGCATTGGATTTGCTGCATTCTGAACTCCATCTGGCTGATATTGATGACCAGGACTTCTGTCCTCAGAAGTCTCCAGAGACATGCCAGAAGTAGAGTGACCAACTAGTCCTGGTATGCCTGGGATTTTTTTGTGTTTTAACACTCAAGGCCCCACATCAAGGGAAACCCCTCTGTCTTGGGCAAATGGAGACAGTTGGTCACCATAGCTGGAAGGACATTAGGTTAACCTCCCTGCTCCTCTTACCCACAAAGGTCAAAGTACACAGCATCTTTTCGTGCACCTATGAGGTCACAGAACTATTTCCTAGCTATTTTGTTTGTATATGTCATGTTTCTATGATTCAGTTGGAAGTCCCTCCTAGTCCAGGTACGATTTGTTCCATTTCCTTCAGATTTCCTGGTCTCTGCTCAACCATCTCCTCCAGGTCAGGTTTCCCTGCCCTGTACCCCCTCCCGTGTCTCAGGATGGTTTTTCGGGCTGTCTCCATCAGCTCCCCCAAAACTCCTTAAGTTCTTGCCTTGCTCACAATGGTTTCCCCAGCATTCGGGCAGGGTCTGTGCCAGAGACAGTGCTCAATAAATGATCGTGGCATTTCTGACTCTTTCAGTGCCCAGGACAGGGCTAGATAATCCCCCAGCCCCAGGGTTTCATACCTCAATTCCAGGGAAATTCTGTTGGCAGAACAGATTCTTCCTTGAAAAGGCTGTAGGGAACCGCTCCCCAGGTGTGGCTTCTTAACCCCTTCTGTCCTGTAGGTCCCTGGGCATCTGGTGAAGACTGCAGACCCCTTTTTAGAATAATTTTAAAAAACTGCATTCATATTACAATGAAAACAATTTTTACTAAAATACAATTGTCAAAGTATTTAAAAACTTTTGTGATATAGTAACATGTGCTTCTTTATTAATACATAAAGTAAGATTTAGTGATGAACCTAATATGATCTTAATTTCAGAGTTGTGGTAATGTAACCAATATTTTGAGATATCTATAGTAACTGAAGTGTGATATAAAAATATCTGTGATTTTTATCAGTGGCCAAACCAGAGGGACTTTTACCTGTTGTTTGAATTCGTGATAGAAGAAAATGCTAAGGACCATTTAGATATTGGTGAAAAATGAAGATACAACTTTTGTCCATCCCGATGTCAAGGACCCTTCAGAATTCCATCCTCAGCCCCCTGGGGCATGTTGATGAACTCCTGTTTCAAGGCAAAAGGATTTTGACTCTTTAGGTTAGATAAACAAGAAAATCACCAAGGGACGAGAGAACAGAGTTAAGAGCAGTGACCACACTCGGTTGGGATAAATAGAGAAAGGTTTCATGGCAGGCCAGTTTCATGCTGAGTGTTGTAAAGGACCTCACCCTAGAGCAAGCCCATGTCCCCTTTGTGTCTCTTGTCACTGAGACACCAAGCCATTGTCCCTGTAAAACAGGGTACCTGCCCTCAAGCTTATACACAATGAGACAAAACAAACTCAACATTTAATAACAAGACATATTAAATTGCAATTTAAAAAAATGTGTCTGGAAGAATCTAGACCATGCCACTTATCTGGCTAAGTGCACACAGCGCAACCCACAGGCGTTCAAAGGCGAGGATCACCTGCTCTCTGGGGTGTACTTTGGAAGGACAGTTGGGACTGCTTGCGGTTCCTCTGGTCTCAGTGACTTCCCTAAAATGGGGATAATAACTAAGTATGGCACCTGACATATACTAAGCACTCAACAATGAGAGCTGTCCGCCCCACCAGTGTGAGCTATCTGCCCCACTGGTGTGGCTCAGTGGTTGAGCATCAACCCCTGCACCAAGAGGTTCCACGCCCAGGTTGTGGGCCAAGTCTCCAGTGGAGGACATGCAGGAGGAGGCCAATCAATGTTCTCTCTCACTGATGTCTCTCTCTCTCTCTCCTTCTCACTTCCTCTCTCTCTGAAATCAATAAAGGAAAAAAACAAACAAACAAAAAAACCATTTAAAAAATGATAGATGTTTGCAAATTGATTCTAGCAACACCAGCTTGGAGATCTTGGTCTCTAGGGTGATAGGAGATGGACCCCCAGCTGTGGGGTCAGCTACATCTCAGCGTGTGAGTGTGCAGTGGTGGGGAGGCGGTTATTCCGGGCGGGGGAGCAGACAGCAGCGCAGGCTGAGCAGAGGGGTGTCATATTCCCTGATGGTCTTCGCTGGGTCTTACCCCCTGCACCCCACACCCAATCGACGTGGCACCTCCGTGGGCCCGGGCACTAGAGGGCTCTGCAGTGCCCAGGCGGAACCTGGAGGCAAGCAGTCAAGGAGCCTGCCTGGGTCCACCGCGTGGGGAACGTACAGGCGCAAGACCGGCCTTATCCTGGGAAGGTCGATCCAGGCTGCCTAGGCTTAAGTGGGGGTGGGGTGCGGATGCAATGGTTCTCCAGTCCTTCCACTCCAAGGTCTCCCGTACCCCGCGAGAATTTGAGGCTTGGGGAATTGGGGTGGGAGGGAGGCGGAGTCACCTTGGTAGAGGACGTGGGGGAGAGGGATACCGAAAGGGGGAAACGAGCGCTGCCGAGGCTGCCGGCCCCTTTAAGAGGCCGGGCTTGCTCTGCGACAGCCCCAGCTGACCGCGTGCCTGGTGCAGCTCCGCGGCCCTAGTCTCCTGCAAAGAAACCGAGTTGTGCGGGGCAGAAGGACCCGGGCAGGAGAGGCGTGGTCCAGTGGGACCGGGGCGAAGCCAGAGCTGCAGGCAGCGAGCCTTTGGAGCCGATAAAGGGGCGGAGCCAATAAGGGGCGGGGCCACAACTCAATGGGCGTGGTCCTGCTCTGCAGGTCTCGGGGGCGGGGCCTCGGGCTCGAGAAGCGCCGCAGGAGGCGGGTGGGCGGGGCGACGGTGGGGGCGGTGCCTGTGTCTGCAGTGGGCGGGGCCTGCCGCAGAGGGGCAGTGCCGGCCAAGAGTCCTCTGCGCGCTGCTGCCGCGGCGTCTCCACATCGTCTCTGACAGCTCCGGTGCCGGTATCCGCAACCCTCGCTACCTCGCACAGCCGCCGCAGCCTCCATCGCTGCCTGAGCCCCGTTCCTTGCCTTCGCGCCCACATCCGGGGCGGTCCGGCTCGCAGTCACTGCGGAGGCCGCATCTGGCGCTCATCTGGAACCGCCCGGCCGGCAGCGCTGGAGCCCGCGCCCAATCTGGCCCGGCCGCGCCGGGAGCCCTGCCCGGAGCTGGAGCCTCCCCTGGAGCCGCGGGCCCGGGGCCCTGAGCTGCGCAGCCGGCGCATGGTGAACTCCCTGCTGTTCGGGGAGATGGCTTTGGCCTTCGGCTGCCCGCCGGGCGGCGGCGGCGGCGGGAGCTGCCCCGGCGGGGGAGGCGGCGGGGCCGGGCCAGGGCCATCGCCCGTGACGGCGGCGCTGCGGGACGACCTGGGCTCCAACATCCACCTCTTGAAGGGGCTCAACGTGCGCTTCCGCTGCTTCCTGGCCAAGGTACACGAGCTGGAGCGGCGCAACCGGCTGCTGGAAAAGCAGCTGGAGCAGCAGCAGAGCGAGCGCGAGCGGCGGCTGCGCTACAAGACATTCACCCGCGAGCAGGCCGTGCAGACCGGGCCCGATCTGCTACGGCCACCCGCGCCCGGCAGCGGGCATGGCAGCGGCAGCGGCAGCGGCGCGGCGGCCGGCATCAACGCCAACACGGTGGCCCTGGGCGGCCTGCCCCCCGGCGGTGGCTCTCACCCGCAGCTCTATGGCCGCCTGCCTGGGACCATCTGGAGCTACACGCAGGTGCGGCGCACGGGCGGCGGCGGCGTGGAGACCGTGCAGGGCCCCGGCGTGTCGTGGGTGCACCCCGACGGCGTGGGCGTGCAGATCGACACCATCACGCCCGAGATCCGCGCGCTCTACAACGTGCTGGCCAAGGTGAAACGCGAGCGTGACGAGTACAAGCGGAGGTGAGTGCGGCCCCTCCTCTTCCCCAGTGGCCGCGGAATGTGTGTGTGCGGGAGGGGCTGGTGGCAGCCAGCTGGTCCTAGCAGGTGGGCTGGAAACTGTCTGCAGAGCACGCTACACATGCTTGGAAAACTCAGTTATCTAGTTCCAAGGATTGGGGCGGGTGCTGACTACAGCAAGGGATACCTCCGAGCCATCGTTGGACCAGGTACATTGATTTGTAGGTGACAAAATCAACTTCTGTGTTTTAAGTAATCTCGTTTAATTCTCATGGCAACACAGAGTACAGGGCATTCTTATCACTTTATATAGATGAGGAAACTAAGGTACAGAGGTACAAATGACTTGCCTAAGGTGGCTTGGCTAATAAGTGGTGAAGCCAGGAACTGAGCTAGTGATTTTAAGTACTTTTGGCTAATCTGTCTCCCAGCCTAGGTACTTCCCCAAGAATATGGAAGGGAGCTCTCTTTCCTCCACGGGTGAAAAGAAAGAAACTTTTAAGAAAGCCACTGACCTTTTTTGTTCCTTGAATTAAATGAGATCATGTATTTGAAAATGAATGGATCTCTCTCTACCCACTGGGGCTAGGGTCTGCCTTCTTGCTCCAGGTCTGGGCTGGATAACCAAATCCGTCACAAGCTTTTAAAAACACCTTCCTTCGCTCCTCTTTTCCCTTCACCTACCTCTATTGTCATGGTTTATTGGGCGCCAAGAAACTCAGCCCTGAAGGCCCACAGGAGGAGGTAACCATGGGCTGGAAGACTAGACAATGAATGGACTGAGACCACCATCTCTGAGTAGTGTGAGACAGACTACCTGCAGGATTGGCCAATACATTTCTACCCAATCCAGATTCCCCAGGTGGGAAACTAACATTGTTTCCTGCCTACAGCCTGGCTGATAGTACTGTTGACTCCACTATCTGATAAAAGGAGAGGAGTCTGTCTAGAGCATTTCAGGCTGGGTTGGGGGTGGGGCCCTCTGCTGTCCTAGCATGGGCAACTCTACACTGGGAACCTTGGCTCTGAACTCCTGGATTTGGAGGATGTGCTGAGAAGGATCTTTTCTTCCACTCCTTGAATCCTGGTGCTCACGAAAGCACAGAGGTCTGCCCAGGAAGCTGGGCATGGGTCTCCCTCTTTTTCCTCTACTTAGCAGGGTTCAGATGCCAGCTCCCTCTGCCAGTGAGGTTGTTGAACCCTTTGGAAGCCTGTTTGCTCACCAGAGAAATGGAACAATGAACCATATTCACAGTTGCATGAAGAGAGAGTAGAATGATGATGCTTTTTGGAAGGTATAAAATAATCAGTTGATGTCATTAAAGATGGTAGTCTCTTTGTCAAGCTAGCAGGAAACAGATGCCTGGAGTCTCAGGGCTCTCTCATGAAGGGCCTGGCTTTCTGGTTCACTCTTACACCCCACTGTACCCTAGCTACTCTTCTGGGCTGGTTGTCTCTCTTGAGAGCTTGAGAATGGCCTGGTGCCTTGCTGTGGGGAGGCCACCTCTCTGTTCCTCGTGGGCAGCTTCGTTGGGGTGGGTGGGGTAGGGAAACAGGCACTTCTCTTGATGGTGAAACTCATAGGGATGGGCCCTTCTGTCTGCCACTGTTGATTGTGTCGTCATGCCCCAGGCTTGTGTTATGATTGTTTTATTGTGTGCATGCTTCTTGGACCTGGCTACTAAGGAGGTGGAAAAACTGTACCTAGTCTTAAAGGGAGGGAGGTTGGCATTGAGCAATGCTCTGTTTAAGTTGCACCCGGGTGTGGGCTGTGATGTCAGCTTCTGGCGTTGGCCTGGAGGGAGATGGGTACTGCTGAGACAGGTGGAGTGCGGGTGTCTCTCTTCACGCCCCCTGGGATGTGTGTGCACCTTCTCTTCCTTCTCCTCCTCCTCCTCCTCCTCCTCCTCCTCCTCCTCCTCCACCTCTTCCTCGTCCTTCTCCTCCTCCTCCTCCTTCTTCTTTTTTGTGAACCAGGGAGATGCATCTTTTCTGAAGTTGATTCTGGACTCTAGTTGGATTTTTCCAAAGCAAGCATATTCCCTTACTTGGGCCTCAGTTTCCCTAACTGTAAAGGGAGAGGTGGCTGATCTGTAACCTCCAAGCACCAGGCTGCCTCAGAGATGCCTTAGGGGTTCCTTGAATATTAAATAAAAATGAATTTTTTTTTATCTTCACCCGAGGACATTTTTTCATATTTTGTTCAGATAGAGTAGGAGGGAGGGAAGGAGGGAGGGAGGGAGAGAGAGAGAGAGAGGGAGAGAGAGAGAAATGACGTGAAAGGGACACATCAAGTGGCTGCCACCCGCACAACCCAACCAGGGCCGGGGACAAACTGCAACCAAGGTATATGCCCTTAGTGGGAACCGAACCCGGGTCTCTCTGGACCGCAGGCCGACGCTCCAACCGCTGAGCCAAACCGGTCAGGGCATAAAAATTAATATTTAAAATATATTAAAATGTTAATATGTGCTCACTTTTAAGTTCTCAATGTGAACTCATCGAAGTTTATTTTCGCACTAGCTTGTTAGTAGCTGGACTCAAGTGAAAGCCTCCCCTCTGCCATCTCTGTTTGTCTGAAGAGTATTTTGAGAGCACACAGCAAACTGCTAAAAATCATTCCCATTTGTAGCTACCAGTCTGTGTGAGTCGGGATTTTCCTGATACTCTGCGGCCAAAACTGGAGATAAAATGGAATGGAATGCGGAGCTGTCATCCATGATCCCAATTCTAAATATTAGTGGATCCAAACAGCCCCATCAACCCCCATGGTTGAATTCAGACTAGGTAACTTATATATTTGAAACTGCAACATACATTTACTTGTTTCTTTATTTGAGTTTCTCATAAGAATTTTCTTTTGCAAGGAGGGTGGGCATGCGATCAACTTTTTAAAAAGTTAAAAAACCTGCCCTGGCCGGTTTGGCTCAGCGGTTAGAGTGCAGGCCTACGGACCAATGAGTCTCAGGTTCAATTCCGGTCAAGGGCATGTACCTCAGTTGTGGTTTGTCCCCGGCCCTGGTCGGGTTGTATGGGAGGCAACCAATTGATGTGTCTCTCTCACATTGAAGTTTCTCTCTCTCTCTCTCTCCCCCTCCCCCCCTCTCCCACTCTGTCTGAAGATAAATGGAAAAATATCCTTGGGTGAGGATTAAAAAAAAAAGTTAAAAAAACCACTGGATTGGATGATTCAAAGGGTCTTCCCAGCCTTGGCAATATAAACACCTGGGTTTGAGCTCCAGCCCACTTCTGATTTCCTTTCTATAGGAGAAGCCACAGCCTGCAGCATGAGACCAAGGTATTCGCCTGGGCTGTTGGCCACCGGAGGTGTCAGGGCCCCCAGGATGTCTAGCATGGAGCCCCAAGCAGTGAGCAATGGAGGGAGGCTGTGCCAGGGAAGGAAAGGTTCCAGGGTCTCCTCTGGTCCCCCTGGAGGGACTCACAGCTCGGAGACCCTACTTGCTTGCCCAAAGGGCAGCCTTGGCTGTGTAGCTCAGTGTTCTCCAATTTGGAGACATTTTGGGTCCCCCCTCCAGACTTGTGGCCAGATTCATGTACCACCACGTGTATTATTTCTTATGTAAGACATTTTTAACAGCTTTATTGAGGTATAATTTACATATCATAAAATCCTTCCACATTAAGCATAAAATTCGGTGATTTTTAGTGAATCCACAGAGTTGTGCAACCATCGCCACAATCCAGTTTTAGAACTCTTGCTTCACCCCAAAAGAATCCTTCGTGCCCATTTGCAGTGAACCCCCCTTCCTACCCCAGCCCAGGCGACCACCGATCCGCTGTCTGTTTCTCTAGATTGTCTTTCTGGACATTTCTTGTGAATGGAGTCATGCAACATGGAGTCTTTGGTGTCTGCTTTCTTTCACGTAGGTAATGTTTTTGAGGTCCATCCATGTTGCAGCATATATCAAGAGTGCATTCCTTTATGTTGCTGAATAATATTCCACTGTGTGGATCGACCACATTGGGTTTATCCATTCACCTGGGTGGTCAATACAATTTAAATGGAAAAAGTCACCTTTTACCACCTCACGTCATCTCACCTGCCATCAGTGGTTGGTATGGGAATCATGCTTTGGAAACACCAACCTAAACCAGAGCCCCTGGCCTGGGGTCCCCTGGCCCTGGCCCTGCCCACTGCTGCTTTGGCTTTGCCTTGGTCCAATCAGTTCTGAGCTCTTTCCTGGATGGGTGAGTGGGGATGTGGTTGCAGAAATGGTAGCATCGACAAGGTTGTCAAGCACCGATTTGGAAACCAAAACAAACATCTCTGCTCGGTCACCACCCAGTGCCACCAAAATATCCTGTTCTGAGTTTGCAAGCTGGGGGCTTTTCCCTGGGAGATTCCTGTGTAGTCTCTCTGAACTTTAAAGAAGTGGAGAGTTCTCTGAATTGGCATCCAAGAGACCCAGGCTCCAGGTCTGGCTCTGCCACGAGGTGCTGTGTGACCTCAGGCCAGTTGCTGCTCTCTCTGGGCTTTAGGTCCTCCCCCTTTACACAAGGGGGTTCTTTTTGGTGATCCCTCCCAGCTAGCTCTGCACTTCGGGTCTGTGACTTGAAGGGGCCTGGGTCAGGGCTGCTCTTTCTGCCACCTGGGATGCGAGTCGGGGCCTCCCCTTCTGACCCAGGCCCAGTGTGCTTTGGACCCGGGTGGTTTTGTTCCTTCCCCCCGCAGGTTGCCAAGTCTCTGTGCCCGACTCAGGTCAGCATGAAGGGCTTAGTTTGTTTTTCCCTGGCACCTGGGGTGATTGGAACTTCGTTTGAGAGCCAGGAGGCCCCATGGTCATTTAGTCCGGTGGCTTTCAAGTAGGCCCTTTGGAGCCCTGGGGTCCAGAGTAGGGTGCCTTGAGGTGACTCTGGGGACAGTGGAGGCTGAGCATCTGGGATTCAGCCCATGTCAGCCACAGCAGCTCCATTTCCATGGCTCTCAGACTGGTATTCTGAGGAAGATTCCATTGGAAAACAGGGTTCTACAGTAAGGAGAA